TGGGATAATGAACATAACCTCTCACACACACACATACCCACCAGTGAGTGATGCTTGAGTTTTTATTTGGTTGAATTCACCCTGTGCTTCCTTTTCCTGATAAAATATAGATTCAACATGTGTAATCCATGAGGTACCTGCAAGAAGAGGGAGGGAGTGAATGTGAAATAGACTCTCTTGTTCTGCTCACCTGAGCTGACACCTATTCTGTTATAGTTGCTTATTTCGTAGGGCTCAGAAGCCCACCTAAAATTTCACTCCCATGATAAAACATCTCTAGCATTTGTCACTAGAGAAGCTGTATGGAATGATTTCAAGGAAGTGTTCGCTGAATCCAACAAGACACATCCCTATTGACATCTCGACATCTTTGTGGCTAAGATGGAGTATGACTCTGGATAATATTTAGCCAGGTGGATTCCTAGCTACTGAAACAGCTTAAGAGAGTTGAATAATGATTAACATTAATTGAGGGCAATTTCAAGTCCTTTGGAAACACAAGAAATCCCATAGAAAGGTATTGTCAAATGGATAGATAACAGAGCTGGAATGATTAAATATCATGATGTTAAAATTACCTCAGTGCTGAGACAAACTTAAAATGAAATGAGACACATTCCATTGCCAAGATATTATAAAAGGGGGGGAAGCTGACTTGATAAGAGTACTCAGGAAAAAAGACTTCGAAGTCTTATTTGACCAAATTCCAATCTAAGCCCACAGTACAGCACACCTGGGAGGGGAACAGGAGGAGGGAACTAAGGCCTTTTAAGAGTGTGTTGATTGAAGTGTGTATCCAGATCAAAAGAATAATCCCTGGACACTGATGTAATATCAGTCACTGCTGGAATATCGTGTTCCATTCTAGGTGTCACATTTTAAGCAGACTGGCCAAGTATTACAGTGTTTGAAGGAGCAGGAACAAGATGGTGATAACTTTGAAAATACTTCTCAAGAGGAATACATGAAAGAATTAGGGAAGTTCTGTCTGGAGAGAGAAATTCATAAATACAAATGGTAATTATTTCCAAATATTTGAAACGTATGGGAGAGAGAATAGGTGAATTTTTCATTGCTTCATAAGTCAAGCTTAGAGAAACAGTTGGAAAAATATGAGGAGGCTTTAGTTCAGTATGAAGAAGCAGTTTCTAGTAATTATTGTTGATTAAAAATAATATACTGCTGCTATTAATGAGTATTCAAAAAAAGCCTGTAACTTCTAGGCATGTTCAGAGAGGATTCCTCCCTTGTAGATATTTGTAGCAAATCAGCTTTGAGATTTCCTCCAAAGTTTGAGATGCAACAATTACAAGATGATCATTGGGAAAGCATCAGATGAAAGTTTTACATGCTGGATCTTAGAAACAGCATTTTGATGGTGCAGCTTCCTCATACTGCAGGGATATGGTTTATAGTTTAAGATTGCCTTACTCCTCATGTCATCAGTCAAAGGTTAATTACCAGTCTTGTGGATAATATAGGAACTGAGGATGGGTGACTAACAGTTGTATATGACTACAATAAAGCCAAAGGCTCTTACAGAATGAATGAAGGTTCATTTTCTTCCTTCACAGAATTTACAGTTGCTCTCTGCTCATTCCACCCACTATCTTCATCACACATACACACAGGCAATAATCTGATTCAGATAACCCAGGTTTATCATGCATGCACTCCACCATATTGTGATCTCTTTGAGTCTTGTTTCCGTCCTCTGTCCTCCACAGTCCTTGACTGTTAGTGAATAGTTCATAAATGATTGTTAGACAAACATACCTTCTTTAAAATTAACTTTTGCTAGAGAGATTCATTTGCAATAACTGCAAAATACCTAATTTTTAAATGAATCTAAAACTATATAGATAAGTTCTTTTTTCACCTACCTTTTTCACCTCTGGAAAAAGAGCCCTTTTCCTTAGTGTACTGAAAGTTTCTGCATGAGGTAGATGAAAGAAACATGTTTTTTTGTAAAAGAAAAGTTAGGAATAGGGAATGTTTCTAAAGATTTCTTCACTTCTCTCTATGATTATGTATTCTAAGCCTAGAAATATTTTAATCTAAAATCTGTGGTTCCCTTGTGGGTCTATGAAGGGGCAGACAGAGCAGATGTCCCATGATTGCCTTGAAATTATATTTAAAAATTCTGTGTGCATGGATATGTGCATTTTTCTGGGGAAAGGGTCCCTAGCTCTAATCAGAAAAAAATTAAGAACTACTGTCTTAAAAAATTTGCTTTCAAATTTCTGTTTTTAAATTCATTTCAAAGACTGTAAAGTGTTCATTATTTATCGGGAACTGTGCTTGGCACTGAAGATATAAAAATGACACCCCTGAACTCAAGTTGCTCACAGTATAGTGGAGAAGATAAATAAGTTCATAATTCATCGAAAGAAATTACAATAGAAAGGTATCAAAAGCCTTTCTGTGTTTTTCTCCAACCCTGGTTGACTTCACTATGCAATTCAATCATTGCACCACAAAATTTTATATGGTTACCATGCCACCTGCCATCACAGGCTTTCATTTTTAACAAGATTGTTGCTTTTCTCTTTTCAGCATTTCATGAGTGGGACCAAACAGTGTTCTTCTGTATCTGTTATACCCAGGAGTTTCTTAAGACCGTGTGGTTAAAGGGCTCACAAACGAGATGAAAATGTTCACTTTAACCATTTTTGTGATCAAATGGTTATAAATCGCTAGCCATTAGGGGAATGATGTGGGATCCCTCTTGACCTAGTAAGTATTATATACCCAAGAGGCATTGGTACATCCTATAAATCTAGAAAACAGGTTGTCAAGATAGCCAGTTGTTAATTTCCATTACTACCGTAAGAGCCAAAGGAAAAGCCCCCCAACAGTTCAGTCATTTACTGCCTATTATCTATGACTTTCTTATATAGGGACAGAAACTAATTAAGCAGATCAATGAAAGACTAAAGAAACTGCAGAGTTCCAGGGTTCATGACAAGGACTGGGACTACACTTTTCAACTTGCATGCTATTTCCTTCCATTTC